ATTTATCAAAGTCTACTAATTGTTTTTCCTAATAGGTGACCATAAATGTAACAAAAAATACCTTAGAATTTGAGAATAAAATAAGGTAAGTTTGTCCAATAAGACAAATTAATACAAAATCGAAACTATCATCCATGTGCTTTAATCTTATATTTAGGAAAGTTAATTAAATGTCACAAAATTCAATAAGCATTCCTAAGAATGTTTATTTATAAATCGCCAAACCCCAAAATATAAAAAAAATGTCAAATACTTAAAAGCCATCAAATAAGGGAAATTGGAGTTATGGCCAATGAGTCAAATACTTGAAAATTACAAACGCGTGGCATGTACGTTCGTCGCAATTATTTTTATTTTTTTTATGTTTATATCTCTTGTTTTCTCGTATTTGGTTAGTTAAAACGTTAAACTCTTTTATGAAATAGACATGATTTTTTTATCACGTTCGAAACAATTTTTACTCTCGATTTAAAAATGTTATATAAGTTTTATTCAAAACGTTTCATGTAAATTGACACTAAACTTAAATAAATGTCGCAAATACTCTCGATTTACTTTTTTTTTTTTCATAAATTCGTTAGTTTTAATAAAATAAAATCTTATACAAAAATTAGTTTGACAAATGTATAAATTGAATTATTGAATAATTTTTTTCTAAATTCATAAATTTCAATAACGAGTCATATTTCTCTAAACGTTTTTTTAAATAAAATAATTAGTTTCATAAATAAAAAAATGAACAAATTAATTAATAAACAATATAATATTAACTTATACAACCCCTCATTCAAATCAATAGTTAAATATAATGATATTAAAGCATTAAAAATAAAGTTGACCATATAGACAAAATATTCGAGTGTTATTATTATAAATAAATTAAATTAGTATAAAGTCAACTATAGACAAAATTATCATAGGATTAAGGATGAAATCATGTTACAATGTTCATTGTAAATTATATTAATAATCCCACTTGCTTTTTATTTAAACAATCTTGTCCAAAGTTTGCAAATTAGCTTTAAATTTTCTCTTCATTACTTAACCATATATATTTTTTCTAATATTTGATATTAATTCTCCTAAAAAATTTAAAATATTACGAAAATAAATTAGTCAACCAACGATAAATAGTCTTTATATTGTGATTCCAAATAATTAAGGTAATCGTTGTCATTTCAAATATTATATATTTTTCTAATTCAGATATATACTTTTAATTAAACCGTAGGTTATAAAAATTATGAAATAAAAATATAAGGATAATTACAAAATCGTACATTCATATAAAATGTCTCACTAATGTTCGAATTATAGTAAAAAATAACAAAAATACACACACACATATATATATATATATACAGTTGTAAAATAAATGAAAAAGGAAAAGAAAAACTTATAATTGAAGCAATTAAATGGTTTTTACACACTTTTTATATAGGATTGTAGGGGACAAGGCGGTGGTTGATGAAATGAATTCACGTGACACCTGGCAGTACTGGCATAGCATAGATTCACCATCAGCACATGACGTGGCAGATTCACCATATCTGGTTGGTTTGTCCGTGTGGACAATCCGGTCCCACCGTATTCACGTCCACATGGCACATCTCATTTTTCTTTGCCCACGCAAATTCCACCTCACCTGCTCCTACCCTCTCGTATGGGAAGCCAACAATTTTCTCTATATTTTTTTTTTCTCATTTACATAATTTCATTTTTTAAAAAAAAAAAAAACATGATCACACTCGATAGAAAATTATAAGATTATTATTATTATTATTATTATTATTTTGTATTCGACTTATTTTACTATTAAGAATCATCCGTACAAATTTTTTGTTTTTCTAAATACAAAAAAGTATAAAAAAAAAAATTAAAAAAACGTCGAAAAGTATATTTATTTTTGTTTTTCTTAAAATTAAGATACCTACAAAATTTGCTTCTCACTATTAACATGAATGGAATAAAATAAACTTAATATATTCAAACAAGATATCGATATAACAGTATCATCCAACATTTAGTGCGCTCAAAATTGCTATCATGATAAAGTTGTGTAGTTTAAAATGATACATTATTGAACGACCATAAACAAACCTAATGCACTTAACTCTCGTCTCAAACTTATGCAAGTATCTTAAATATGCGTCTTAAAACAAGAAATAAAAAAAACAAAGAATCTAGTCTCCGTCGTTAACCAAAATCAAGTCTAATTTACTCATCGTCTATCTCAAACTTACATTAGCGTCTTAAACGTGCCTAAATGTCTCAAAAAATTTGAAATGAGATTAAAGCATATAATCCACCCAAAAGTGAAAAAAGTGTTGAAATGTCTTTTCAATGACAAAATAGACAAAAATGTTGGAAACATATTTACGTGCACGAAAAAAAAAATAGCTTAAAAGGAGCTTGAAACATCTAGGCCACGTCCAATATAACGCTAGACTTTGTATTAAAAAAAAATTCAATTATTTTAAGAAACGATGAACATAAGAAAAAATAAAAAAGTAATAATACATTATAAGCATATTTTATATTTCACAATATTAAAGCTATGGAGGCAACATTTAATTACATATGGGAACTTGGTATTAATTAAAATAATGGTGCGAATATTTTTGTTCCTACCTTAAATTCTCGTGGTGGAATTATGGTAATAAAATCCCCACCGACTGCTCAACTTAACTGCTACTTCTTTTTCATAAATAAATAAATAAATAAATGAATAATGACTACTTACTATGGTTACCCGTTAGGCCGTTGGTACGGTGGAATCTGATTCACCGAATAATGTCCTGCATTGGTTGGGTTGGGGGCTTTTCAGTAAAATTGTAGGATACGTGGCTTCATTGAACAGGTGAGGTAATTAATACAAACCAGTAGGGGTATCGACGTCATTTCGTAGTGGCAGAATAATAATAAATGAGTTTTTATGAAAAGGAGAGCGTACAATTGAGGCTTGGTTAAACACCACTGGTTCGTGGAGAGTGGGTTTTGCTTTTTTCTTTGGCGGTAAACAAAATTATTTATTTATTCTTTTTTTTAAACCAAAATGACCATTTTAACCACAATACTTTTTTTTTTTTTTTTTTTTTTTTTTTTTTTTTTTTTTTTTTTTTTTTTTTTTTTTTTTTTTTTTTTTTTTTTTTTTTTTTTTTTTTTTTTTTTTTTTTTTTTTTTTTTTTTTTTTTTTTTTTTTTTTTGATGGCAAATATTCCAAATTTTAAGATTTATTCAAAATAAAAAAAAAATTGCAATTTAACCTTATTTTTATATTAATATAAAAATAGAGAGGAGTAAAAACGGGAGGAATCTAAGTGGGCCCCAACTCCGAATTCCAACAAATCAGGGGTCGCAAGGCTCGAGGTGGACCCTGATGGCAGTTTGAAAGTTACCAAATTTGCCCCAAGGTGGGGCCCATGCCTTCCCTAAAACTCTGCGCACGCTCTCTCACTCTCTCTCTCCAACTCCAACCGTCCATCCGCTTTTCATTTACTTCCCATTTAATTTTTAGCCATTTTTTTCCCTTAAAAAATAAAATAATAATTTCCAGGTTTAATTTTTTATTATTTTTATTTGATTAAACCTTGCACATAGTTTATAAGCTATTTTATGCCCATTTTAAATTTTCGTCATTTTCTTTATTTTCAAAACTACCCTATCAATTAAATTAAAAACATTAGCACATTTTCCGTATATATTAAAACAAATGAATAATAAAGACTTAAAATGATTTTAAATTTAATTGTTTTTTAATAAATAAGAAAACTATATAATATAGAAGTTTGGAGAGCGTAATTATCTCGACTTCTCTTAATTTTTTAAAATTTTTATTTAGATATATAATCAAAATTATTAAAAAAAAAATGAAATAGAAAAATAGTTTGTAGAACTTTCAATAAAGTTAAAAGATACGAAACGGACCATTTGTCTTTTACTATTTTTCTTTTAATCTTTTTGCAATTTAAATTAAATTAAATTAAATTAAATTTAACGCATGGTTAATGATTTTATTTATATAATATTTCCTTACTCTAATATTTAAAATTAAAACAGTGTCCAGAATCAAATTCTTAATTTTCTTTCCTATCTGTTACCTTTGAAGGACAGAAGCCTAAAAAGGTAATCTACTTCCTAAAAACAGTAAATGTCAAGAATTAGTTCATTATTTTTGTTTGTCCAATTTTGAAATATTATATTAAAAAGATAAAACCCATCATAATTATCTTTCGACATAATTTATTATATTAATCAAAATATTTTGTGTAATATTTGCATTTTTTTTTTCTCTTTTTGTTGGTGTGAGCGAATGTGGAGTAAGAAATAAGCAATTTTTTGGTTCATTCAATCCACAGCCTTCGCTATTTTACACAGCTTGTGATTGAAGCAATGAATGGATTCCCTATGTTTTCTTCTTTTTTTTTTTTTTTTTGTGATAACCATTTTTGTCGAGTCTAAACAATTTTAACCCGTTTTTCATCTTTTTAAACCTTTAAAATCTTTTCAACTCGAGTAATTTCGTGCTCGAGATGCTAATACATCATTTTTAGTGAACTCAATTCAAGAATTTGTATTAGTCTAAATTATATGTCGGATAAGATATTTAAATAAGTTCGGGAATTAACACGTTCTATAATAATATTTTATAATATATATTGCATAATTCAGCACGTGTCGATTTTCTTAATTTTCCTAAAATGCCCATTCTTTTGTTGGTGGATGATTTTATAATAAAGTAGCAACAAAAAATAAAATTGAAGTAATTATAATCCCTACGTAATTCAGAGCATACCAATTTAAGCTCCAACGAATTAACTTGATTAATATTTTCCTATTTATATCTAAATAAATCACATATTAAAAGGAAAATATGTGGGGGGCAAAATAGGAATATGAAAATGGCATTAATTAGGGAGGAAGTGTTAATATGGGAGCTTTGTTTAGGGTATGCAGAGCAGTTGGATTTGGATTCGTATTCCCTCGCTGTCCTTTTCCTCGCCCTCATCCCTCCATAAGTACCCCCTCTGCCTCCCTCGCTCTTTTCATTCACTGCAACCCTAAATTCCCATTTGCTTCTTCTCTTACACCCATCAAACATCCATGGCTTCTCTTTCCCTCCTCTGCTGCATTTCCATTGCTTCTTTCTCCTCCCTCTTCCTCCTCTCTCACGCTAGAATTCCCGGCGTCTACTCCGCCGGTGCCTGGCAGGACGCCCACGCCACATTCTACGGCGGCAGTGATGCCTCCGGAACCATGGGTTTCTACATTTCCCTACTCTCCTCTCTTCGAATCACATTTTGATATCGCTTTTGCTTATCCGGGTTTGTTGTTTTGCAGGTGGTTCTTGTGGGTATGGGAATCTCTACAGCCAGGGGTATGGCGTTAACACTGCCGCTCTGAGTACTGCTCTCTACAACAATGGACTCAGATGTGGTGCTTGCTTTGAGATCAAGTGCGCTAACGATCCCCAATGGTGCCATCCCGGTAGCCCTTCTATATTCATTACGGCTACCAATTTTTGTCCCCCCAATTACGCCCTTCCTAGTGACAATGGCGGCTGGTGTAACCCTCCTCGCACCCATTTCGATCTCGCTATGCCTATGTTCCTAAAAATCGCCGAGTACCGCGCCGGAATCGTTCCCGTCTCTTACCGCCGGTGAGTCTGCTTCTTATCCATCACGGCTTTCCTTGATAATTGATTTTCTTGGCTGTTCTCTGTTTGGAAACCGGTTAAATTGAGAGAAAATCCCCATTTTCATTCTGTTAACAGATCTGGATAGATACTCTGTTTGGGATTGCATAATATTAATAACAAAATACGTAGTTCATTATATTACCCTTTGATAAGAAACCGAAAAATGCCGGAAATATTTTAGTTCTGATCTAGAAATTTATGTTTCCATCATGTTTTTCTGGAATCAAACCACCAGAGAAGGTGGTCACGTTCTCTAAACTGCCCTGCCTGAGTTTATTATTTTCCCTCGGATAAAGTGGGATTATCCTTTTATTTTAAATATAATTTATTGTTATTGCAGGGTGCCATGTAGGAAACAAGGGGGAATCAGGTTCACAATCAACGGTTTCCGTTACTTTAACTTGGTATTGATCACCAACGTCGCGGGTGCAGGGAATATCGTGAGGGTTAGCGTGAAAGGATCAAACACGGGTTGGATGAGCATGAGCCATAACTGGGGGCAAAATTGGCAATCCAACGTCGTTTTAGTGGGCCAGTCCCTGTCCTTCCGCGTCACCGGCAGTGACCGTCGTACCTCAACTTCATTGAACGTGGTGCCTTCTAATTGGCAGTTCGGTCAGACATTCACGGGAAAGAATTTCCGCGTTTGAAATTCCCTCCCCTCCTCTTTTTATCTCTTTTTTTGAAAATTTTCCCTTTTATTTACCGGGAAAATTTTGGAGTTGGGAGAGGTAAAAGTAAAACTCCACAGTAGGACGGTCAAAATGGGTCTTTATAGGGTTAAAAAAAAGGTCAGTAGTTAAAGGCGTGTCTAGTTTTGCATCGTAGATCTTGGAAAAGTTACCCGTGGTGTGGTAACTTCTTACATTTTTACATTGTTTTGGGTTAGGGTGTGTGGTTTTATATATGAAGTAGCGGTGGTGGTTTTGAAAATTACCGCGGTTGAAAATAGTGTAGGGGGAGAGGCTGAAGAGGCTGCAATGGTAAAATGTGTAGCCCGCAGCATTTTACTGCTACATACACTAAAAAGTTGTTATGTTTTGGCTCTCTATATACTTCTTCATGGAGTAATTTCTTTCCATTTGTTATTATTTTTCAAAAATATTTAATTTAAAGTTTTCATTTTTTAAAAAATTGGTAAAAGTATCATAATTAATTAATATATTTCATAAAACAACATATAATATATAATAGTGAATTTTTAAATATTGTTATTGGAATCTTAAAATTAACTAATTTAGTTTTTAATATAAATTAATTCTAAAGGAAGCAAGGAGGGGCTTACAAGTAAAATGGACATCACATCACTATCCCGAATGAAAGATTTTTGGACAATTGTAGGGAATATAACAGTGATGTGAGATGATATTCATCTAATAACCTAAATTCTTATATTACAGCTTTTGAAGCCCAATCAATTATGAAAAAGCCCATTTCATAATTCATCGTTTCCGCTCTTATAAAAATGCTTTATTCTCCTCCATTACTGATGTGAGAAATCACAAATATCATTACAATCCCACCATAATTTAATGTTACCGAGCTCTAGCTGCTATTGCCTACATCGTAGCACTCATCAAGGTTCGTAGTGTGCCATCGGGCTACACTAAATTAGAATGAAATACATTTAGACCAAACAAAGCAACATTCACGACAGGAGTGGATGGATAGATAGAATCCATTATTATTATTATTATTATTATTATTATTATTATTATTGTTATTATTATTATTATTGGGAAAGAGAGAGATAAAAGTTGATAGGGTTTAGGCACACATTCCAGCCACACCCGGAATACCCAAACAAGTGCAGCCAGTATCGCATGGGAGTGCGGCGTTGCAAAATTGCGGAACACAGGCTAAGACATGCCCCTTCTTCATCATCATTTTCCTCATCATATTATCATCAACAACAGACACCAACAACATCTCCTCTGCAGCATCCTCATGATGGCCACCATCGGACAACACTTCTTCAATCCTTCCATTCTTCCTTGTCCATTCCGCAACACACCCCGCAAACATCATCGCCACCAATACCGCCATCACCATCCCTACCTTCTTCCCCTCCATTATCCTTCTTCTTTTGCCCTCTCCACCTTCTCTCTCTCTCTCTCTCTCTCTCTCTCTCTCTCTCTCTTTATATAAGATAAATCGTTGGATTACCTACCAATTCAAAAGTAGGTTTTTCTTTACGGGTGAACTTGAGAAGTCCCGATGAGTAGAAATTAATTTTAGTCGAGAAAACATGAGCATTAGTTGATTTAAGACGTGTCTATTAGTATTAGTGAGAGTTTTCAAAACTAACTATAATAGTCCGAGACCACCTCTAGTGAATATTGTCCGTTTTAATGTGTTATGTATCACCGTAATCCTCATAGTTTTAAAATACGTTTACTAAATAAAAGTTTCTACATGCTCATAAGGAATGCTTCATTCCTTTCTCCAACCGACGTGCGATCTCTCATATCTCTTTTTATAAAGAAATTATAGAATCCTCTTCATTTTTTAAAAGTTTTTCTTTCTATTGACTTCCACGGACTTTAAATCTATTTTCAAATTATAGTAAAGAAGACTTTGTAGAGATCGATTTCGACATCATTAGAGTTAAAAGCACGTCAAGTTCGACGACTCACGAGATTATTGTTGAAGACAAGATTTTGATGGGGACTAAAACAAGTTGAAGAATGCTTTTGGTGTGTTAGAAACAAACAAGGAGAAGAAAAAAAAAAAACTAACAACAAGTCAATTCTTACGATTTAAATGAAAAGTTTAATCAAGTTTAGAATATATTTTATACAAACAACTAAAGTAAAAAGAAAATTGCTTCATATTAAATACATATTCATCACATCAAGCTGTACATTTCACAACCTTACCTCTTCAACCTTCTTTTGTACCACCATTTGGCTGACCATTATGATCCTTTCTTTCACTACTCAGCTGCTCCAGTACTGCTACAACCTCATTCATGCTGGGTCTGTACTTGGGATCTGTGGCTAGGCAAAGAAATGCAAGGTTAGCTGCCCTCTGTGCTTGTCCAAGACCATAGTGCCCGTCGAGACGATTGTCCATGACTCGACGAATTTTGCGTTTATTTACTAGATATGGTTTTGCCCAATCCACCAAATTGTGTTCCCCAGGTGGTCGATTCATGTCTATCACTCGTCGCCCTGATATCATTTCGAGAAGAACAACCCCGAAACTATATACATCGCTCTTTGCCGTTAGATGACCTTACCAAAGAAAGGGATGTCGTTAGAGGCCAATCAGTTACTCAGTCATGAGAGAAACAGAGAATTAGAAGAACCTGTGGCTAAGTATTCAGGAGCTGCATATCCATGAGTTCCCATGATTTTGGTAGAGACATGGCTTTGATCACCAATTGGCCCATCTCTAGCTAATCCAAAATCCGAAAGCTTCGCATCGTAGTTCTATCGATTTCAAGTAAAAAAAAATGGTCATATTTTCAAATAAAACTACAAATAACTCGCCAACTAATAAGAACTTACTGCATCAAGAAGAACATTAGATGTCTTGAAGTCACGGTATATGACTTTAGCATCACTATTGTGAAGAAATGCAAGTCCTCTGGCAGCATCAAGCGCGATTTTCATCCGAACATTCCACGAAAGCGGTCGAAAGTGAGCGCTTCCTGTATCGACGACACAAGCTATGTATGATCATCTTAAACACAGAACAATGAACAAGAGAAAACATGGAAAAGCTGCCCCAACTCACTTCTGAAAAGATGATTTTCAGCACTGCCCTTTTGCATAAACTCATAAACCAACAACCTATGATCATCTTCAAAGCAGTAACCAATCAGCTTCACAAGATTAGGATGGGTAAGCTGTCCCAAGTAGTTGATCTCAGCCTATATATTCAAACCATAAGTTAACCAAACTATGCAGAATCAAGCCATAACCCGACCGCAACCGATCGGTTTAAACACAGCCATGTAACACACGAATTGTATTAGAAAGCGAGTACTAACCAACCACTCCTTGTGACCCTGTGGTCCATCTCTATTGTGCCGCTTAACAGCAATGACCAAGCCAGTTCCAGGCTTGGTGGGAGTTAAGGAATGCTCATCAATCCATCCTTTGAAGACTGAGCCAAATCCACCCTCTCCAACAACACTATCAGGGCGGAAATTTCTCGTTGCCGTTTTCAATTCGTTGAAGGTGAAGTTCTTCAAATTGGAGCATTGAAGAATTTGATCTTCACTCCGAGGAGTGGCAGGAATGGAGGCAGAGGATACCTTGCTGCTGGAAATATGAGAATGTTCTCCATCTCCTCTCTTGGACTTATAACTTTTAAGACCTAAAATTCAAATAACTACCATTACAAATGCCATGAATCTTGAAGTGATATCAATAAAGAACACATACACAAATTATAGCAGATTCCTCTACTTTCCCAGAAACCAACAAGCCCCCAATCGGCAAAATCGAAAGAATCTAAAATACCCACAAAAAGAAAGCACCAAATATGAAATCCAAGACCCAAACTAAGCTAAGAAGACGAAGAATCAGGAACAAAGGGAACCCAAATCAGAGGCGATAAGTACCTGTATGAGTACCCACAGACTTGGAACGATCACTCCAGCACGCCCCCATCGGCAAAATCCAATAAAAAATTTGAAGCAACTTGGAAACGAAGGACGAACAGATTAAAAACCCCCAAGTTCTTCAAGAGATCGGAAATCTTGAAGAGAACAGAGTCAAATTTATTGTCTCTTCAAGGGGAAAAGCTGTATGAACTCAAAGATGAAGAAATGGAAAGGCAACTCGGTTACGAAAAAGATCACCAACTTTATTCAGCCATGGATCATAGTCTACATGATTGGATTGGACGGTCGCAGCAGAGCAATTTTGGAACTATCTTTTCCACAAACTATTTTTTTTATATTATTTTTTAAAAACTAAGTTTAGAACACTAATTTTTTTTAAAAAAACATATTTTAATGAAATGATTTTTTATTAAAATAAATAAATATATATTATAAGCTTTTTATTTGGGAATATTTAGGAACAAAGGTCGTTGGCACGTGGGGTATGTTTGGTTGCCCTTTTGGACTGGGGTATAATGGGAAAACAATACCTATTCTAAGTTGACTTATTCCACTCTTTCTAGATAACATTTTTTTCAATAAAAAAAATTAATAAAACAACAATTACAATAAATGAAAGGCAAAAAAGTATTAATTTGTTTAATCATTAATTTATATTTATGTTGAAATTGAGAATGTGAAATACCAATAAAAAGAAAAATATGTCGGGTCAAAACTTAAATGTAAAAGTAAAATGTTGGACTTAGCTCTGTTTTATTTTTCCATTGAGGACGAACCTAACCCTATGCTTGAGAGATAGCTACCCATATACTGATAAGGGATGTATAGATTCTCGAGAAGAGAGGAGCCGAGGTGGTCCCCCGGACGGATCCCACGAGTGAATAGAAAGTTTGATCTACATTGGATCTCACCATCTTATGAAGGTCTTTGATTTCTCGGGAAGGTTTTCAGCGTTTAGATTTTTTACTTATTTATTAAAGGTCTTCAATTGAAAAGTTTAGAGGTACGGAAACATGGGTCGGGTTAGGTTGAAAAAAAAAAATTAGATCAACCCAGAAGTTTGGGGTTCGGTTGTCTGATTTTCAATTTTTAAATTTTTCCCTCGTTCAATACAATTTTAAATAAAAAATATTAAAATAAAAGTTTATAAACAAACACCAATTAAACGCATAATCATCAAACAAATTTTCATCAATATAATCAATATAATCATAATTATAAGAATGATAAGTAAGAATTAACATCTTAACATAGTTGAACATTACCATAAACCTTTAATCTTCTCCGTTTTCAATATTCAGAAAAAGAACTCATTTTATCTCTCCTCTTCTCTCTCGTAAGGGAAGGTAAAATAAGGTCTCTTAAACCAAAACAACTCTAAACGTAAGGCACGATAAGGAAATACCACCTAAGCGATCTTTCATTTGGCTTATGAGAAAAGAAAAGTTTTCAGATATGAGAAGTCTTCGAAAGAGGCCTCTCCACTGACGTAACAAAAGGTTGAATAAGGAATTGATAGATTTTGACGAAAAAAAGATTGATAGAAGCCTGCACACAGATAGATTTTGACAAAAAAAAATTTGATAAAAGCCTGCAGACAAATAGATTTTGAGGAGAAAAAGATTGATAGAAGCTTGCACACAGATAGATTTTAACGAGAACAAGATTGATAAACGCTTGCACAAATAGATTTCAATGAAAAAAAGATTGATAGAAGCCTGCAGACATATAGATTTTGATGAGAAAAAGATTGATAGAAGCCTACAGACATATAGATTTTGACTGAAAAAAAGATTGATAGAAGCCTGCAAGCAGATAGATTTTGACGAGAAAAAAATTGATAGAAACCTGCACACAGATAGATTTTGACGAGAAAAAGATTAATAGAACCCTTCACACAGATAGATTTTGACGAGAAAAAAATTGATAAAAACCTGCACATAGATAGATTTTGACAAGAAAAAGATTGATAGAAGCCTGCACATAGATAGATTTTGACGAGAAAAAGATTGATAGAAGCCTGTACACAGATATATTTTGACGAGAAAAAGATTGATAGAAACCTGCACAAAGATAGATTTTAACGAGAAAAAGACTAACAACACAATAGAATAGGGACACATTACATATTATTATATAGAACTAAAACACAGTATAAACAGTCAAGCATGAAACCAGACATTCAGTACAAGGTAAAACAACAACACAACAGCAAACAACAACAACGAGTATCCAACCAAACCTTCGGTTTTTCCAGGGCTAACCAGAAACATGTTTTGGTTATTGAAGTCTTTTTATTACACACACGCACACATATATTTGTAGGGTTTAGAAGCCCCCGCTCTCCCTGTTATTGGCCAAGAACATAGCAAGGTCAAACATGTCCGAGGATTCTGGGATGTGGTTGATCAGGTCACACTCATCCATGTTCATATATGCAACAGATTTGGCCGCTTCCATTGAAGAACAGATTCCATCATAGCCTTCTGTCATCTTCTCCGTCTCTGTCTCCACCACCACCGCTGCCGCTGCCGCTGCCGCTGCCTCTGCCGCTGCCACTGCCGCTCCCTCTGCCGCTGCCTCTTCGCTCGGTTTGTCATCAATGATGACATTTTCAGGATTCACTTCTGTGATGATATCGAAATATTCAGGTTTCACATTCACAATAGAAGCTGGGTTTTCCACTTCCATGGCTTCGGGTGCTTCTGTGATCGTCTCTAATGGAATGGAGTTTATGTTGATGGGAACGTTGGGAGGAGAAGAAGAAGAAGAAGGAAGGCATGTAAGGGCCAAAGTGTTTAATTTTTTGCTGCTTTCTATCTCTGGGAAGCTTTCGCACTTTTCCTTTCCTACAAACAAATTAAAAAGCAAAATAACTTCAAACATCTGTTGCAAATATTTCTTACAAAATTTATACCTAACCGACACATTTTAAAAATTTTGAAGAAAAGTATGAAACAAAATGTTAAAAAAGGACAATATCTACTAGCGGTGGACTTGAACTATTACTATAGACATGTTTTAAAAAACTTGAGGAGAAATCTAAAAGGGAAAGCCTAAAAAAGACAATATCTACTAGCGTGGAAACTCGAAAGAGAAAGCTCTTTAGGGAAAATCCGAAAGGGAAAGCCTGAAAAGAACAATATGTCTAGGTGAAAACCCGAAAGGGAAAGCCTAAAAAGAGCAATATCTGATAGCGGTAGAAACCCAAAAGAGAAACCCTAAAAAGAACAATATCTATTAGTGGTGGAAACTCGAAAGAGAAAGCTCTCTTGAGATTTTTAAAAGGGAAAGCCTAAAAAGGACAATACTATAAACGTAACAATATACGTTAACGATAGATTTAGACAGAGAGAAATGAAAGAAGTACCTTTAATGGAGTTGAGTTGATCCCTGGCCCCGTTTACAAGGTTATCGTAAGCCTCGGCCAGTAATTCCTCAACAGTGGGTTCATTAGGGTAATTGATTAAGTTGGCATCTTTTTGTTCCTCTTCTTCTTCTTTTTGTTCTTCTTCTTCCTCACAGATTTCCTCATTGATATCAAAACTCAAGGATTTGGGTTTCTGAGTATTAGGTAAGTTTAGGAGATTCTCATATGATTCAGCCAAGAACTTCTCCACTCTTCCCTTCTGGTTCCATGTCAGATCATCTCCGAAGTAGTAATCATCATCATCATCTTCATCATCATTTTGATGTTCGTCGTTAAGATCAAACGGACGTGCAATGCGCCTATCATCACTCTTCTTATTATCGCCATTAACGTCAAAGAACATTGGACGCCATTTCTCCCTCATTTCATCAACTTTCCTCTTCAATGGCGAAACCCTCTTTCCCTCACTTGTTTCACCCTAAACCAAATAAATTGCATTCATTTTCAAAATCACTCTCAAACCTGATCCAATATCAAATTAATTAGAACGAAGAATAATAAAAAATAAAAATAAACTCACAGGAAATTGATTTTCGCCCGGATTTAATTTGGTCGCAGATTTTTGAGGTTTGTCGGGATAAACTTCATATATGAAAAAATTCACAACCTCAGTGATGGACCGAAACACCTTCCTTGATGGTAGGTGATGATAGTACTGTGACAAGAACATCATATGTTAACATGATTTTTTTTTTTTTTTTTTTTTTTTTGTTTATAATAAGGTTGACATACTATGGGTCAAAGTCAAACATACCAAGTCAAATCTTCCGTTAATGCGTTGACGCCTTTCCATTTTCCAACCCTGTAATCTTTGAAAGAAAGTATAGCGAGGCACATTATAAATAATCTCACCAGTTGTATTTAGAGCCGTTGCCTCATTCCTCTCTACTTCCACCAACTATATAAATCATTATCCATAATGTCAAATTAAACCCTAATCTCACTTAAATAATAATCATTAATCCAAATTCAAATTATGTAAACATATACCTCCTCAAGATCCTCGAGATTAAACGGACAATTGTAAGGAAGTTGGAACGAAACTAGGGTTTCCCCCACGAGTAACGTCGTCACTCTCTTTTTCCGAGACAAAACCTAATCCAAAAACAAAATTGTCATTCATCCCTCCAAAAAAGAGTTGGAAAGTAAAATATAGTCGAGATTGTACCATATCCGTGTTGGGTGGTTGAGGGGGTCTAAAGGAGACGGGAACCGCTTCAACAACGTCGTCGAAGTTGGCTCTTTCGTTAAGGTTCATGGGCGACGACAATAATCTAAACTCGGTCACGGCCCTCTGCGAAAATGAAAGTTAAGGAAGAAAAGTAGGGGTTTATGAAACAAAAAAGAAAGTGTTTATGGGAGGGAGGGGTTACCTTGACCATTTCTCTAAGAGTTTTGATGATTTGAGAGCGATTAGCAGCAGTTTTTGTGGGGTGGCTCCAATCAAGCATCTTGGTCTAGAAGGAAACAAAGAAAAAGATGCATTTGGTACTTAGAAATTTGAAGGTGATATGAAGAGTGAGTGGATATAGTGGTTTCATTGTGTTCCCAAAACTGGATGGGTACGTTTTTTCATCAAAAGAAACTATTCATTCACACAAACACTTAACAATTTTTGTGTAATTTTCTGTCTTAAAACTACCAAATCTCATCGTTTTCAACCTTCAAACGTCGCCATTAGAGAGACCCACCAACACAACTTCATCTTTAACCACTCTCTTCATATCACTAATCATTTAAGCTTGTAGTGCATGAGTCTCTTGGATAAGTAGTTTATTAGATACGAAATTAAAAAGTTTAGAGATTTATTAGACACATCATTGAAAATTTAGAGACTGGTTTATTTGACTGGAAATTGAAATTAAAAGTTTTGGATTCTATTTGACACTTTTTTAAAACTTGGAGACCAGTTAGACATGAAATTGAAAATTTAGAAACTACAAAATTTAAAGTTTTAAATTCTATTAGACATTTTTTAAAGTTTTGAGACCTATTTGGACACAAAATTGAAAGATTAGAAACCAGATGGATACAAAATTAAAAATTTATAGACTGAATAGACACAAAATTAAAAGTTCGGAGACCATGAAATTGAATGTTTAGAGACTAAATAGACCCTCCAAGTTTTAGATTCTATTAGACATTTTTTTAAGTTTGGAGACCTATTTCAGATCAAATTAAAAGTTTAGAGACTAAATAGACACAAAATTAAGAGTTTTAGATTCTATTAGACATTTTTTTGAAGTTTAGAGACTTATCTCAGACCAAATTAAAAGTTTAGAGACTAAATTAAAAGTTCACTAAATAGACACTCAATTAAAAGTTTTAGACTCTATTATCCCGTTTAAAAGTTTAGAGACTTATTTGACATGAAATTAAAAGTTTAGAGACTCAATTTAAAATTTTAAATTCTATTACTCTGACCTGACATAAAATTAAAAATTTAAAGACTAAATAAACACAAAATTAAAAATTTAAGATTCTATTGGACGCTTTTTTACATGAAATAAAAGTTTAGAGACTCAGTAGACACAAACGTGAATCTTATGAACAGAACCCGTAATTTAACCTATTTTTTCAGTTTAGTTCATGACACCAATGTATAAGTCATGCAAGTTTATCATCAACTAATTCTAGGACAAAATTTTAATAATCAAAACTTTTCAAATAATAAAACTAAATTGAGAAAAAAAAAAACATTATGGAATACAACATAATAGTTAACCCAGATTATAATATATTATATGTCTAATGTAATTTGAAGACATTTAATCATATTATCAATAATCACCCACTTAAACTGCCCCAAACAAACAAAGATGCAATAAACAATCAACAACATTTAAATTCCATATATATGAACATGCTAACATCTCAATGTTTCATAAACTTTCCTAATAACTAATTAACTAGGATAATTTGAATTAATTATTTTAATTTTCTCGTTATAAAAAAATAAAACAAGACGTTCCTTTCATCTTTGGTAATTCTTTTATAACCACGAATCAAAGACGACCCTACGTCATGTTCGTACAAGTCATAAAAAGACATTCGTTTTAATAATTAAACCGGTAGCACACAAGTACATATTTTAGTTGCGGAAGTTCAAATTAATGATTACCAATTAACGGTTGATGATTTAAACATCAACGATTAACGACTAACGGTTAACGATCAACAAACATTAGATTTTATTGAACTACTATAAAATTTTCTTTCCATGTAAATGTTTTTTCTTCTTCTTACCTTTTATCTATGAGATCGAGTAACGAAATATGTTCATAGTTATGAAATAACCTAATTATTTACGGATTTCGACTTAGATCGTCTCAAATGCAACATGCATGTAGAAATCAACCCTAATTATGACACAATTGTTCATAATCCCAAAACTTAAACTCGATTGAGAGATGATGAACAAGATATGAGTTGTAAATGAATGAAGAAATGGTATTACCGAAGTTGGCTTTGTAGGAAGTGAAGTGGGTTGAGGAATTTGTAAGCTGAGCTTGAGTTGAGAGCCAGATGGAAGAAATGTCATGAAATTCGTTTCAGGTGCTTGAGACATCTTCAACACAACCTGTAATTTCAACAAGATATACAAATCTAGGGTTAACAAAGTTACACCCAACAAACAAACATCAAACCGTGTTCATCGCTCGTTCGTTCTTATTAGGGTTATATGTTCTTCGTTAGATCTTCAGATCCATCCTCCGGTTCTGATACCATGTTTTTTTTTTGGGGTTTTTTTTTTTACACTTTCACTCACACAACCAAACACAAAAGAATTTTGGGTTTATACCAAAAAAAAATAGTGAGACAAAGATTTAAAGGATGAATTATTTTTGTAAATTTATTTTTAATATAACAGTGATAATAATAAATAATAATAATAATACCCCTTGCCCTCGAGGGTCACTGAGAAAAGTGAGAGACAAGCTGTGATTTGTCTGTAATGGCAGTGAGCCACTTGGGTTTGACCGTGGTGCATGCATTGGAACCATGGCTCCTTTACCCTTCGCTGCTTCTCTGTTGCTATCACTGTTTTCCTCCACACAGATCACCATTTTCAACCCAGAAACCAAAAGCACAGAGGGAGAGAGAAAATTCAAGAAGGGGGAGAGAGAGAGAGAGAGAGAGAGAGGGAGGGAGGGAGGAGGAGGAGGAGGAGGAGGAGGGAGGAGAGGGGAGGTATTGTATCAACAACTTCTCTGGCTCTATAATAATAATCTCAAGACCCCACATGCAGAGGACACGTGGCAAGGTTTGATTGGATGAATAGGGGAATTGCTTGCTGACACGGAGGAGAAATGGAGTTGTTTGGCGTGGTTTTGAAGGAGGGTTTGGGGGTGGTATTGTTAGACGTTACAAATGAATAATATTATAATATAAGATTTGAAAAAATAGAGAAATAAAAAATAAAAAATAAAAAAAAATATTTTTGGATTGATGGATCATGTGTACCTGACTAATTTTCAGCACAATTGGAGGGTTAAAGTTGCTTTTAATTATTATTATTAATAAAGAAAAAAAAACAAGAATATCGGTTTATACTAAATTGCCATTTTTGTGGCTAAATACAAAATGGTAATTTCACATTTGGAATTCCATAATTTGTTGCCCATATTTGGAAGGTTAGTGAATGAATTACCTGTAATGCGTAATGGATACTGTGTAGCTTCTTTGCATTTAATTACCTGCTTCGTTCATTTCACAGAAAATAATGGGAATTTGTTTATTTCTTCTTAAATTAAATTATTTTATTTTCTTTTTTTTAAAAAAAAACCCTAATTTTAATATGATTTATTCAAGAAGTTGCTATTATGTATGTAATACACAATTATTTCCCTTCCGCTGGACATGTAAATAACCACCTAAGATATTTATAATTTTACTTCTTACGGAAACTTTTACACTAACTCATTTTTTTATGGTCTAGTAAATAATTGACGGTGGAGATCAATTAAACAATGGTACCTTATGGGTTCTATTTATTATAAGCTCAACGGTCGAGAAGAAAAAAATCTTTGTCGTTGTTGACTCGGAACTCATACGATGAAATTAATAAACATATCTAGATATAGCAAGGTTAATTTACGAATTTGTCCTTCATGTCTCCGAATTGTAAACAACGAGCGAGTGATGTATTCGGCATAATTATTAAAATATTGAATAGGTTCGTAAATAAGTCACATATATATTAGACACAAAATTAGGGTTTACCCTGTTGGTAAACAAGCAAAAAATGAGAGTTTGGTGAAAAAAAAGATGCAATTCAGACCTAAAGTTGTAATTTAACTAAATAACAAATATTTTCTAAAATAATAATAATAATAATAAATAAAAAGCAAAAATAATTAATTAAGGTAGAAAAATATAAGCTAAACTAATTTTTTAAGATACCTAACTCTTAATTTTCAATAATAACTTTAAGAAACCATTAATATTTTATTTCAAAAATACCAAAATTTTCATTTATAAATACCCTTATCATTAATAATACTATATTTAAAAAATACACATACAAAAAAAATTAAAAATTAAAAACTTTTTTTACCATTAATATATAGATAAAAATAGTATATCGATACCTTATAAATTATCTTGTTTAATGTTATACTTGTTCCATGATGAAAATCTCACATCCACTGCTTTAGGGAAGGATCATAATCCAAAAATATTATTTTATTGGTTCGAGTCATTTTGGGCTCAGAGTGGGTGTGTCATTTTTTAAAAAGTTAGACATAAGACTACTTTTCAAAATTAAAAGAATATCAAAGTGGACGTGTATTGTTTTTTAAAAGTGTAGACGTGTTTTAAAATGTTAGACGAGTTAAATAGCATTTTTCAAAGTTAAAAGAATATTTTTGAAACTTTGTTCGGAAGGGTTGAATGAAGCATTATGTGTCCGGGTGTGGTATTAGTTATATGGTGTGTGGTTTAAAGTTTAAATAGCAATGTAAATGAGGCAATGGGGACATTAGAAAAGAAGAAGGCAGATGATGCATTAAAATAGGAATGAGTGTGCCATTTATTTCTCAAGTATTTGTAAGCGGCATTTCGTCGAACACCTTACACACAAACACAACACACACAACCCATTCATACATATTTCAAATCATAGCCTTAAATTATATGTCTTTAGCAGCTGCATGACCCACACCCACACTTGCAATTGTCTACGCACGAGCATTTGCAGTCACATCCACCCTCCTCAAAGTTCCTGCTTTCACAAAACACACCTTTTTAATTATATGCAAAATTTTATGATATATATATATATATATATAAATATAAATGCAAATTCATACTCTTTCATGGGACCAACATCACGTTTGCATCTGCAACAAAAAAACAAAGTATGAAAAACAGTCAGTTTCTGATTTTCTCGGGAAAATAAAATTTCCAAATTTTCTCGAGAAACAAACAGAAAATAAGAAGGAAGGTGGGCAAGAGAAGATACTGACGAGCAGTTGTTGAGGCTGCAATTGCAGGCAGCGTCACATCCACACTTCGGCATTTTTCTTTTTCCGTACACAAAAATTAAATCTCAAATTGTTTTTTTGATTTTTGGTCGAAGAACTTTGAGCTTGCTGGTTTCAAACTCTCAATTTCAAGCGATATTTATAGTCGCGTGTTGGATGCTATCCACCGTCCACGTGTTGCAATCTCATTCGCTTCCCAAACGCGCATCTCTACTTTTTTTTTTTTTTTTTCTTTTCTAAATTCCGTTTATAATATTATTTTATATTCCATGGTTTCGTATTTCTCTTTTATTTTTCTAAATCGATTATTCTCTTTTTTTAATTGTTTTTTCATTTTTATTTCTTGTAATTGAAGAGAGTGAATAGTTTTAATGGAAAAAATCAATTTTTAATTTAAGTAATTTTGAGCTAATTTTAAGTGAAAATAATGATTAATCAATTATAAATGGTATAAATTAATTTAATTATGATAATTTAGTGTTTGAATTGATTTTTTCTTGCTAAAACGACACCGTTTTAAGGGAGATTGAGTTGGCCGGTTCAAAAGCTCTGGCCATAATGAAATGGACCGTCCTTAAGCGGTTGGTCCACTTTCATTAAAAACTCTGACGATTGAATCCTTTTGTCTTTGTATTTTAGAGTTCGGCTAAATAAATCACTTTTTAAAAATATTTTTCTGTTCTTATTTTTAATAATTTTAATTTTCATCATTTTCAATAAAAAAAAAAAATCTTTATTTGGTAAGTATTTTTTTTCTCCTTTTATTCTAGTAATGCCAAAATAGTTATTATTTATTCAATTATTTTATTTAAAAAATGGATAAAATTCAAACAAATATTTTTTAAAAGAAAATTGCGTTGGGTACTTTAGTAAAAAAATTAAAATATTAAAGGGAAAATTTAAAATCAACTACATAATAGGAATATTCTAATATTTTAGAATAAATTTAATTATTAAAAATAAAAAAGTGAAAAGATTCTTTTATTTTTGGATTCCCAATAAATGTCTCAATATGTCTCTAAAACCAGAAAAAGACATGTTGAAATGTTGATTAAAATTAATTTATTTATTCTCTTATCGAATTTAAATTTTATAATAAATAGAAAATTTAAAAAAAAAAAAAAAAAACTCACAAACGCCTGAAAATCAGGCATGGAGACTTTGTATTTTTTAAAAATAATTATTTAAAAAATACATTTAATTGGTTATTTATAATAATAAAATAAAACTTGTTAAAGCATGAGAAGAAGATGAAGTATGCTAAAGTGTACATTCCATAGTAATGGAAAATGGGCCCTTAGAATTTCACCTTTTTCAACTATGGAAGGCACAAAAACAAAAACTCCAATTTTCTTTATTTTTTTCTTCCCACATAAATAAAAAAAAATTGGTCTTTTTCTGAAGGAAAAAACAAAATAAAAAATAATAATTGGCTTTAAAATAATATAATCTTGATATAAGAAATTTTTTAAAATTTAAATTTAAATGAAAACTAACTAACATGGTTTTTTTTTTTTATATATATATATAAATATTAATAATTTTTTAGTTAGAATAATATTCTTCATTTTGTTGGGATTGAAAAATTAGATTATTCGTTTGAAAAAGTATAATAAAAATAATAAAACTTTGAATGGATGGATATTTTGGTGGGTGGAGAATGAAAGTGGTCACTTATGGAGTGTGGGCCATACAGCCCATATCGAACTTTGACTTCCACCACTTCAATAAGTTTAATATATGAATTTAATGTCTCAATATTAAAAAAAAAAAAAAAAAAAAATTAAAATTTCTCATTTTTTTTTCGCATACTGTTTAAACTCAATAAATGTATGGGATATATAATTTAATTTTGTATTTAATATTAATATTTGTATTCAATAAATATATGAGATACCGTTTAAATTAAAGTTTTTTTTAGAGGTCAAACGACATTAATCTCATATTTTACAGTTTAAGTAAATATATGTTTTTTTTTCAATTATATATTTCTACGAACTATTAGTTATTTTTTTAGTTATTTAAATCTTGGCCGTAAAATATATATATATATATATTTTTTGTAGGTATATATGTTAATATATTGAATTATGCTAAAAAAAACATTTACTAATTTCAGCACAAATAAATATAAAATATTTTGTAACCTCACAGATATCGATGAAGAAAAAGAGGCTTAGCCCAATACCTTTTTGGTTTGGGCTAAGCCTGTTCCTCGAGCCCAAGTGGTTTGGGCTAACGACCCATATCCGTATCCTCAGCTATATCCAAGGGATGACCCATATCTTTTTGCTCACTCATCATTCAAAATTCTCCTTTAGGAATGTGTAGTTTAAGAATGTTTATGAGTTTAGTCGAGTTGGGTTTAGATATTTTTTTAGACCAATCTCGTGGTTTCATGTAAATCTTTTCAAATCAAGCAACTTTTTTAAATAACGAATCCAACTCAAACATAAAATATTTGAGTTGAGATTGTTGGGATTGCTCGTATTGTTCGAATCATTTATTTTAATTTTTTGTTTTAATAAAATTAAAATGGTGATAAGTAAAACACATATTTATTTATTTTCAAACACTTAATTAAGATCAGCAACTCAGTTTCAATATATATTGATGAAAAATTTATTGGGAACTGTTGGGAGTGAGTCGGACATGGGTTAATTTAGGGAATAATCATTGGTTTATAAGTAAAGAAATACATTTTCATTAGTGTGAGACCTTTTGTGAAAGCTCAAAGCAAAGACATGCGAGTTTATGGTCAAAGTGAACAATATGATACGAGAGTCGTGATTCCTAACATGGTATCAGAGTCATGCCATAAACTTAGCAATGACAATAAAATCCTTAAATATAGGTGTACTTTGTTCGAGGGCTACAGAAGAAAGTAGGAGAAATTTGGTGGCGGATGAAATATGAAAAAGAAATTCAAATACAACTTTATTTATTTATTCATTATAATAATTATTATTTCTTCCATCTTTGAGAAAAATCGAAGCCTTTACATTCAATGGACCACGTCAACTTCATTATCTTTTTATTTTGGGGCCATTGAGACATTCTAATTTTAGAAAGTCTTTTGAGGAGAAAAGTGAACGAATTCCTGAGATAGTGACACGTGTCAAAATTTTCCCTTTATATTTTCAATGTTTATCTCTAAATATATCGTCTCCAATTTTATTCCAAGGAAAAGATAGTTCCTTTAATGTTTTATGATTTATTCTTAATTTTTTTTAATTAATTATCGTTTTAATCCTTAAATTTCATTTCTTAGTTTCTAATTTTTTTTATTTAACTTTCGAATTCATATTGTGAAAGTTTTAAATTAAACTTTCAATTTAAACAATTCATTCAATTAAACTCATAATTTAATTATTATTTTTTAAATAATTCATACAAAAAAAAAAAAAAAAAAAGCGTTCATATTTGTTTAGTTTCAATTAATTAAGCCAATATGGAAGCATTAATGAGCAATTGAAACTTTAAATGCTTAATTTTTCTAGAATTAATAATTTGATTTATAAAAATAAATGTGAAACAAAGAAATGCGTCTGCATTTCTTTAAATGGAATGTTAGGTGAGAATTGAAAATGCATCAATTTCCTAACCTCTCCCTAAAATTACATAAATAGAAAGAGGGAAATTTTATTTTACACGTGTAATTTAGCTACATATAGGTTACCACTAAATTCAAACCAAATAATGAAAGGCTGCCACCAATTTTATTTTCAATAAAAAATAAATTATTTATGGAAAAATTAACAAGCTTTCCATGTCTATTACCTTAATGAAAATAATTCAAATTCAAAAAGAATAAAGAAATAAAATAATATGACGTGGCATATGCTGATTGGTTAAATAGGAACTATCTTCACTGCACGTTCATGTAGTTGAAAATTAAAAGAATTAAAAGTCTGGAAACTAATTAATTTATATTTGGGTTTTAAGTTAAGATAAATGATTATTCGTTATTTATTTGATACGAAATTTCAAACATTGACTTTTGGATTTTACTAAGATCCTACATAATAATAATAATAACAATAATAATAATGATAAAATAAAAGAGGAAAAATAATCGAACTATCTCTTTAATTGAAAATTCCTAAAATTTCCAATTCTTTTGCTTTTAGTTTAATGCAGGTCAACGACCTAATGAATAAAATAATAATAAAAAAAAGCAGCAAGTATTTTTTAGAGAAAAGAAAATTTTAAAAAGCAACAAACAAAAAAACAAATATGAATACCACTTCTAAAAGTCAACTGTTCTCTCTCTCTCCCCTCTTTCTCTCTCATTAACAATTTCTGAGCTATCAAACTTCTTCCGGTTTGAGGCGCACGATCTCTCTCTCACATTGAGAGAGAGAGAGAGAGAGAGTATTTTGCAATGATCAATCAAATCAAACAGCAGAGAAGATAAATTCTCTTTTTTTTGTTTTCTTATTTCATATGGGTAATCATATTGGGAAGATTGGCCACTGCTTCGCCGGCGCCGGCGATATTTCCAGTCGTTATGGTCCTGCCGACATAATCTCCGACCCCCACGACGGCGGTTTTGGCCACTCCTTTTACTATCTCCCACCCGACCCACAAACCCTCTCCTCCTTCAAAGCTTTCCCCGAAGACTACATCTCTCCAGCGACCATTTTCCGGTCGATTTCCGGCGCCTCTGTAAGCGCCAACGTCTCAACGCCGCTGTCCACGTCTCTGGTCGATCTATATCCTTATAGCACCACGTTTGATCGGGCCGCTGCTTTCGATTGCTCGAATTCCTTTGCCTCTGTGCCGTTACAGCCGGTGCCACGCCACTCGATGTCGGGAAATTTCGGTGGAAACCCTTCTTCGGGTCCAATGGAGAGAGGGTTCTTATCCGGACCCTTGGCCGCCCGGAGCATCGAATCGTGCCCGATAGATCGAGTGGTTTACTCCGGCTCGATTGAGAAGGGCGGCGGACCTGAGAAATTGCAGAGAAGCGTCTCTAACGGCGGCGTTGGAGATAGACAACCGAAATCGAAAAGAAGAAGTCTCATTCGGATTCTGAAGAGAGCCATATCCAAAACCATTTCTCGAAACCAGAAGGCTGCGAGTTCATACAAACATGAGAATGCAGCTCAGACTCAAAGCAGTGTTCATTTGAGCAGCCACGCCAGTTTGGCGCAGGAAGACGATGGCGATTACTTTGTCGGCGGTCAGGGCGTACAGTGGGCACAGGGGAAGGCCGGCGAGGATAGAGTTCACGTGGTGATATTGGAGGAAAATGGTTGGGTTTTTGTCGGAGTTTATGATGGATTCAACGGGCCTGATGCTCCTGATTACTTACTCGCTAATCTCTACACTGCCGTTCTCAAAGAGCTCAAGGGTTTGATATGGAATGATAAGTTGGATTCAACTGCAACCACGTCTTCCATGAACTCATCCAACTCTGCTTTAATTGAGGAAGACGATCATGGAACAACCCACATAAAAACTCAGGCTAATGTTCATCAACCTACAGTGAACTTTTCGGCAGAAAATAGGACGAGACAGCTGATGAAGAAGGGCGATCAGGATCCAGAGAATTGGAAATGGGAAAGGGAAAGGGAAAGCATAGGATTAGATCACCACAACATATGGGATGAATCAACAACAATCAATCATTCTGAGGTGTTGAATGCTCTATCTGAAGCATTGAAAAAAACAGAGGAATCATATCTGCAGAATGCAGACAAGATGGCCACAAGAAATCCTGAGCTAGCTCTAATGGGTTCTTGTGTTTTGGTTATGTTAATGAGAGGAGAAGATGTGTACCTGATGAATGTAGGAGACAGCCGTGCAATTGTAGCGCAGCAACTCGAACCATACAGAGACTTGGAGAGAATCAATGAAGGAACACTACGGGTATTAGAATCCCCTGAAAGATTAACAGCCTTAGCTTCCCATCAGCTTACGATGGACCACAGCACGTACACAGAGGAGGTAATGTTCTTGTCAATATCACTCATCTTCCACTAAGCACTGCATTTAGATTACATGCATTTATGAGAGAACTTGAATATCATCAGGAAGTTCAGAGGATCAAGAATGCTCATTCTGACGACCCTTCAGCAATTATGAATGACAGGGTGAAAGGTTATTTGAAAATCACACGGGCGTTTGGTGCTGGCTTTCTGAAACAGGTCTTTCCAAATTTCCAAACCTTGTAGTCTGCTAGAATGTAAGACAAATATGGTACTGATGAAATGAGTGTTTTGCAGCCAAAGTGGAATGACGCATTGCTAGAGATGTTCAGAATAGACTATGTGGGAAATTCACCTTACATCACCTGTGATCCAACTCTGTGCCATTATAAACTCAGCCCAACTGACAGATTCTTGATATTGTCGTCTGATGGACTCTATCAATACTTTACAAATGAAGAAGCTGTTGCTCAAGTAGAGTCCTTCATTGCTTCTTTCCCTGAAGGAGATCCTGCTCAAAATCTCATTGAAGAAGTATTGTTCCGAGCAGCTAAAAAATATGGTAAGAAACAAGAAAGGAAGATAAAAGAAAAGAAACAAATACAGCATATATGTTAGGAGTATGAACTTTACTTACTGATGTGATTTGGAAAACATGCAGGAATGGCCTTCCATGAGCTGCTTGATATCCCACAAGGGGAGCGGCGGAAGTACCACGACGACGTTTCAGTGATCATCATTTCATTAGAAGGAAGAATTTGGCATTGGTTGATGTAAATAAAGATACTAGCCAATAGAAATCAAAGATAACAACAGTAGGTGGGCCAAATAATTCTGCCATTTATTTCATTGATTCTTCTTCTTCAACCTTCAACACAGAGAGTGTAGAGTTGTTCAGCTTCCTCTTGCCTGTCTTCCACCCCAAATTGTGCGTGCGTGCGTGTGTTGCAACTTGCATCCAATACAAATACATTCCAACGCAGAACTGTTTGGAAAATTTCAGCAATTTTGTTTAGCAGACTTAAGAAGTTTCTTCTCTAGGAGTCCTGACTTCCTACCAACCCACCCACCCAAAATAAACAATCAATCATTTACAACTCTACTAAATTTTATTTGAATTTGAGCTTGTTGGTGGAAATGGAGCTGGGGATCAAAATTTTATGTCCCATTCCCAATAAAAGAAAAGAAAGACAAAGTAATCAGCCTTTGAATCCTCTTCCTCCACCCACCCAACCCCTCTTGGAAATGGAAATCTCGGTCAGACTACACAAAGCATCCATCACAGACTGAGTTATTCGTTATTTGGTTACCATGCAATTAATCATAATTAAATAGCTTAATACATTTTAGCTATTTATTAGTTATAAATCTATTCTGATATTTAGTCAATGGTTTAGAAATTTCTAGATTGAGACTTTTGTACGGATAGACTTGTGAACACTTTAGTTATGGTAATAGGTTACCACTAGTACATATAAGAAAATTTTCTCTCTCCGAACTATGTAAATCGTTGTCTCTTTGTATATTTCTGTTTGTGAGTGGATAAGTATGATCAATCTTGCTTCCACTTCTACACCAATAAGAAAAATAAGACCTTGTGTGAAGCCGGCCTAGGATGGGTCTGTTACTATCATAAATCCCTTGGAAAGGAGGACCAGTACATTTCTTTGGACTTTTACCTCCGATGGTTATTGATCATGTAGGTGGATCTCCAGTTTGAATTCCACCGAAAAAAAGTAAGCGGTTGTAAGACAAAAGACTATGCCATAAAATAAGATAAAGGATAGTGGATGCAAATTCGTTTTCAAAATAATCAGAGCATTCAAAACCCCACTTGCACATTTATGGCTGACACAGAGCACGTAAGAATCTAATAACATCAAGGGCTAGAAAGAATGATAATTCAGATCTAGTTACTAGAAAATGATGCAAATTAGTTGAACGGAGAATATGAATGGAACAAGCTTAAGAAAATGATGGTACAGTTTGAGTAAAGACAGTGGCAGGAAACAAAGAAGCAACGTGGGCAAGTGAAAGATAGTACCTTCAGAAGATTTAGGTTCCATGTATTATCATTACCACCAAGTTCTGCCAAAAGTCCTAGCGATGCTACATTGATGATAGACAAATATTGTTATTTATTCCTCACAGGGACAATTGAGTACTTAAAAAATTAAGAAAACAAGAAGCAAATATTTCACTATTTCATACTGGATATAGCCTGTAAGCTGAATAAGGATACAAATCAGGACAATAATCCAGAATAGGAGCCAACACTTCTAGTTGAAAGAATCATAGAATAGAGAGATAAGAACGTACAGTCCAGGAGGATTTGAAATCTTCGGGTCCCAACTTCGGAAGTTCCCACTGCAGCATTTCTGAGCTTGAGGTACATGAAATATCTCGTCCTTAAACATCAGTGAGGATAAATATTTCAGCTAATTTTACTAAGAAAATGCAATTGAGAACAAACAAACTCCAAATTTAAAAAATTCGAAACGAATATGACGAAAAACATACCATGTTCGGATCGGAAACAATGCGGTAAACGAGAATGGAGATAGGAACCACCCACAAACTCTTAATGGCGGCTACGGCGATTCAGATTCTAGGCGAGATGAACAATCTACATCTTTCTGAATCAGGGCAACAAAATGGATAATGTTAAGAATCTGAATTTGAAGTCATCGCTAAGCTAGGGTTCAGGTTCGGCTCAAGAATGAAGACCGAATTGAAATTTGGGATAATGGACATGCGCGCTGCCGTTTACGCGGGAAACATATGGCAGGCGATGATTCCACCTCCGCTGCCAACAGCTCCATATTTTTTAAGCCCCGATCCTGACCCAATTCAAATCAATAAAAGTTGACAATCCTCTCAAAAGAAAAATGAGGCCAAATTATTGCATATAGCCATAATCATAAATTAGTTAAAATCTTAAAAACAACATCTTTGACGAAGGATAAATTATTCAAAATTTCCTCACTGGTCACCATATTCAGAAGAATAAAAAAATGAAAATAACACAATAGACTTGGCACCAAAGGGATTATAAGTGATAACTGAATGATTGACAAAAAGACCAGCTATCACTCCGTTCATTAAAGGTTGACGACCATACATTATGATAAGACAAGATACAAAAAGAAGGGAAAACATGGAAAAATGGAGTTGAACGAAAGAAGGAATATCAAGCAGCAATTTCTTTCTCACGTAAAACGGTACCGAACTTGACACGTGTTTGCTCGTGATTAGAAGCATTTCCTGTGGACAATTGAGGGGCCAGACTCATCATACTCAGCCTTAGCAATCCACATCTGCATAGAAGCAAGCCAAATATGTAAGTTCGAGACCCTACATCAAACATAATGTGCATTGTGATGAGAAGGAAAACGCCTTGAAATAAACTCACCTGCTGGAAAGTGCTCAAGGACGCCAAGATGGAACCTCCAATCCACACACTGTACTTCCTTTCAGGCGGCGCAACCACCTTAATCTTCATGCTGCTCGGGGCCAAGGCTGTGATCTCCTTGCTCATTCTATCAGCAATTCCAGGGAACATGGTTGAACCACCACTGAGCACAATGTTTCCATACAAATCTTTCCTGATGTCAACATCACATTTCATGATGGAATTGTATGTTGTCTCATGAATACCAGCAGCTTCCATTCCGATCATGGATGGCTGGAAAAGGACTTCCGGGCATCGGAAACGCTCAGCGCCAATGGTAATCACCTGACCATCTGGCAATTCATAACTCTTCTCAACTGAAGAGCTGGTCTTAGAGGTTTCTAATTCTTGCTCAAAGTCAAGGGCAATGTAGGCCAACTTTTCCTTCATATCTCTCACAATTTCACGCTCAGCTGAAGTGGTGAATGAATAACCACGCTCAGTCAAAATTTTCATGAGGGCGTCAGTCAGGTCACGGCCAGCAAGATCAATACGTAGGATAGCATGCGGAAGGGCATATCCCTCGTAGATGGGGACTGTGTGACTGACACCATCTCCAGAATCTAGCACAATGCCTACAACAAAGCAGAATAACTTCACGAGGCAGGCTCAATAAACATAATCTCTCAATTCGCCTACTTTTCATCAGCGAAAAGTACAGAAGTAACTTTACAGAAGATAGTGACACATGTTCTATTTTAAACACCAATGAGAAAGTTACCAGTTGTACGACCACTGGCATAAAGGGAAAGAACAGCTTGAATGGCTACGTACATAGCTGGTGCATTGAAGGTCTCAAACATAATCTGGGTCATCTTCTCACGGTTAGCTTTGGGATTGAGTGGTGCCTCAGTTAGAAGAATTGGATGTTCTTCTGGAGCGACACGAAGTTCATTGTAGAAAGTGTGATGCCAAATCTTCTCCATGTCATCCCAGTTGCTGACAATTCCGTGCTCAATAGGGTATTTGAGAGTCAAAATACCACGCTTGGACTGAGCCTCGTCCCCAACATAAGCATCTTTCTGCCCCATTCCAACCATAACACCTGTATGGCGAGGGCGACCAACAATGCTAGGGAAGACAGCCCTTGGAGCATCATCCCCAGCAAACCCAGCCTGATAAACAACAGGAAAATTACAATTTAAGTTTTCTTCTGTTGAATAGAACGAGGATCACAACTAGACGTTTAGAATGAAATTTTTTATTTCACGCATCGATTCATGAGCATTGTATTTACAAATTTTAAAATAAAATAAAAATTTTCAGAAAATTTGATCCTCAACTGAAGGTAAAATTCCATCACCTTAACCATTCCTGTTCCATTATCACAGACAAGAGGCTGGATGTCCTCGTTCTCAGCCATCTTTTATATTGTCTGCAAAAGAATTTTAGATTGCATCAAACGTATATAAAAGAAAAGGTGAATATGGAATGGTTCTTTCAGAGATAGGATGAAAGCAATATGCTAAGATCCCCAATCTTATGTTTAAGGAAAATAATCGGTCTACAAATTCATCAATCGTGATAGCCGTATGCAACAACAAAATTTTGAAAGGCGGAATTCCACAATCCACCGAAGACCCTTGACATACAACATATCTGAGAAATTTGAAAGCTGGAACTTATGGAAACTCGTGAGACTCGAATAAATTACACTATTACAATAACGCAAGGAAATAAAATGACCCTTTCTGATATTCAAAAAACGACTTGATCATAAGTAAAATATCTAATGTCTATCCTCTGCTACTTGCAGAATACGGCAGATCATGGCCTGATCGGTACTGCACAGTCATTTCAGAAAACTCACACTCTGATTGCAAAAACATCCAGGCAAATAATACGCCACAATGATTAAATTCTAAGAATCTGCATTTTGATTATTGATATAGGAGAAACTAGTCGTTATGCTACTGAAGTATTACTCGAAATAATCTAAATAATCTTTCTGTGCAGCAAGGCCAGTTCAATAAAACTCAAATTATTAACAAATAAATAAGAAGGAAAAATAAAACTCCAGAAGAATCAAGCTCCAATCAATATCCGTTCAGTAGAGCCAACAAAACAAGAATGCGAAGAGCATCAATCAAACAGTCATATCTAAAGCTAGAACATCCAAAAAGCTACCAAAGCATTGCGTCAACTCCAAAGAAAGCAGCAAATCATTGAGCAGGAGGAAATGCCGATCGTTTGGAAAGAAATTCGAGAATCAAAATCAGTACATTACGATGAAAATGTAGAGACGAGCATTCATCGAAAGATCAGAGTGAAAATTTTGCAGTACCTTTTTTCGAAACCGTTGAAATCGAGAGCGTTTTCGCTCGAACTTGATTTCTTAGCTAGCAGCTACCCGCCTCCCGAGGAGTTTATTTTTAAAAATCGCAGATACAAAACAAAACAAAAAAAAAAAAAAAAAAAAAAAAAAAAAAAAAAAAAAAAAAAAAAAAAAAAAACGGAAAACGGACGATGCAAAAAGACGGAGTCGACGAAAAATAAAAATAAAATGGGAAATAGGAAACGAAGCTCTGCCCCAAATGAAATGCGACTCAAATGCACCTCAAATTCGGTCTCATTCTGACCGATCCTTGGTCCAGAATCCGATATAACCACTGGATCTACGGCCCACATGACGCGTCAATTTGATCTGGGTCGCCGGTGGATCCAGCTGTCGTTCTCTCTCTGGGACCAAAATAACCCTCCACTTACATGTTATTTAAACGAAAATGAAAATTGGATAATTAATTTAGATGATTCGTAATTTCATTTTTTTCAATATAAAATTGAATTGTTCTCTCTTTCGTATATGTTTTCTAATTACAATAATTTTTTAAACTTTTTTTTTCAACCTTTCTTTAAAAATATTCCAAAATTTTATATTTTATTTCAAAAAAAAAAAAAGTCTAAAAAAAATATTTGTACTAATAGAAACTATTAATATTTTATTTAAAATTTTTCATTAAATACTTTTTAAAAATTTCTATTTAAAAGTTTTTTTTTTTTAGTTTAAGGGCATTATAGAAATTTCGTTTGATTTTTTTATTTGTTTTTTAATGAAAATAGAGGAATTTAAATTATGACCTTTAACCATGGCTAATTATACAAAAGAAAAAAAAAACATGCTTATGCTTATTATTGAAAATCTTCGTACACTATATATTAAAACTGTCACACAAACATACGCTTTATTAATAAATGTCTTTTGAAAAAAAAAACATTTATTATATAAAAAGAAAAGGATAAGATATATGTTTTTTTTTTATTTAATTTTAGAATTTTTCAGATTCTTTTTTATTAATTAAATTTTTTTACTGTATTACAAAGTTGGAAAATAATAAATTTTTAATAATACACACATGGCCATAAAGTTATTGACCTTTTTTTTATAACTCATTTGAATCTTTCTCTATGTTTGAGTTATAATATTAAAACCACATAACTATGCATTAAAAGAAGATAAAAGGTTATAATAAATTAAATTTTAAAATATTATTTACCATAAATATAATACGTTGACATGGAAAGACTATAAATAAAAATTAATTTTAAAAATAAAAGTGTAATATTTTGAAAAGTAAGGTTTTACTATT